TAAGTAGGATGCCAAGTTTACTTATTAGTTGTCCTTTGTTTACGTGTTTCTCTTTATTTTTGTGTTAAGTGTTTAATTTTCGTGCTTCTCTTGATTTCTCTTGCTTTGATAGTTAGTTTGTGTTGGTTCTTTGCGATTGATTTCGTGTTTCCCATTGGTGCCTTCACAGGTATAGTTGTTTGTTTGTGTTTATGCGATGTAGACGAAGGAGAGAAGACACCGCCGATCGATCTCTACGTTGAGCTTAACATCGACGAGGCGCAACCCGATCCGAAAACAATGGCGGACCAAGGAGAACATTTGTCACCACCGCCTCCGAACATGAGATATTTCGCGCGACCCATTATTGGAGAGACCACTTCTTGTCTCGTGCTCGGAGAGGTGGCCCGAAATTATGACTTGAAGACCATCTATGTCAATCAATTACTCTCCTTCAACGACTTACCTCAAGAGAACGTCTTGAACTTCATCCGAGAATTCTATTTGACGGTCAATACCTTTCTTCTACAAGGGCTTAATGAGAATCAACTCCAGTTCGGTGCTTTCCTTACACCTTGAAGGATCGAGCGAAGACATGGTTTATGACCCTCCTTCCGAATTCCCTCACTAATTGGGAGGCGGTGTATGAGATGTTCATGGGGAAGTACTACGCCCACCAAAAGACGACGGACCATAGGGCCCAAATGGTGAGCTTTAGCCAAGCGCCAGGAGAGACTTTCCATGAGGCGTGCGAACGATTCGAAGTTATCAACTCCAATGCCTACATAATCATTTTTGCCTCGGAGTATTGAATCAATTCTATATATACATAAATAAAAATTTTATTTATGTACATATAGTTCTATATCATTTAGTGTGACTTTATAACTAGTTAGTAATAGAAATTATCTTATAAATAAATAATATAATTAATGAATGCAAAATGTAATGATTTTTCATAATCGGCTAAAAAGAATGAGCGGAAAAAATTCATTTTTGTATTAAATAATTTTGCCTGGTTCAAATAAAAACTAGTCCTGGTGTAAGAACCGTGAGAACCATATTTTATGCTATTTTTAATTGTATATGATGCTATTTTTAATATTGGATGATGCTATCATTTTCACAAATGCTAATATAAATTGTGTTGCTATTTTTAATAAATTTCATCCTAATTAAAAATATAGCACCAAACACAATCAATTATAGCACTACACACAATTAAAAATAGTGGTTCTCACAGTTGTCACAATAAGATTATTTCTCATTTGAACCACATCTTATATATATATATATAGGGGTTGGTTCAAATAAAAACTAGTCCTGGTGTGAGAACCGTGAGAACCGTTTTTTATGTTATTTTTAATTGTGCATGATGCAATTTTTCATATTAGATGATGCTATCATTTTTACAAGTGCTACCAGAAATTGTGTTGTTATTTTTAATAAAATTCATCCTAGTTAAAAATAGCATCAAACACAATCAATCATAGCACTATGCCCAAATAAAAATAGCGGTTCTCACGGTTCTAACGGTTACAAATCCCAACGGAATGGTTCCGTAATGGGATTGTAGCGTTTTCCATATATATATATATGGGATTTGGTTCAAATGAGAACTAAGTCCTAGCGTGAGAACCATGAGAACCGCTATTTTTAATTGTATGTAATGCTATGATTGATTGTATTTTAGTGCTATTTTTAATCAGGATGTATTTTATTAAAAATAGCAACACAATTTATGTTAGCATTTGTAAAAATCATAGCACCATGTTAGATTAAAAATAGCATCATACACAATTAAAAATAGCACCAAATATGGTTCTCACGGTTCTCACACCAGGACTAGTTTTTATTTGAACCAATCCCTATATATATATATATGTCTGTGTGTGTGTACTTGTCGTCTTTCCATCAAATAAGCACAAAAATTATACATCATATTAAGTAGTTATTCAAGATCCTTCATCTATCATTATATTAAAATATTAACCATCTAACACTTTTAGTAAGTTTTTCCGGCCAAATACATTTAATGTCTCCTAAACATAGAGCAGCATTAAATGTTTTCATTAAATCATGGCAGTTATTAATTTAGTTTGGAGAAAATTGTGGCAACTAAAACAAACAACATTAATTACGGCTGATTTAATATTTAAATGGTAAACAAATATTACATTTTTCAGACTGATTTAAATTTACGTATGTTTAAAAGTAAAAAACTACTTTTGTAATTTCAACAAATTTGTACTCTTTAATGTACGGCTGATTTAAAATTAAGAATTTACTTTTGTATTTTAAAAAAAAATCGTATAAAGAAGTATGGCTGGAATAATAATAAAAAAATTAATTTGTTAAACCATATTTTTCACTCATAGATACGAATTCTCATCAAATTCAAGATTTAAAATTGTGAAGAATGTATATAGATGTGGACTGATTGAAGATATATGATTCCTTAAATTAAGGAATTTCCTCCGGTAAAAAAAAATATAAACTTTAAATATAGATTTTATTAGTAGTGTATACCAAAGAATATTGTTACATTTAAAATTCTTATGAAGAAGAATTCTATTAATTTTCAAATTCAACATCTCATAAAAATAATATAATACACTTTTACATTCTATGAAACAATATTTAAAACCTACCGTTCAACATGCATAAAATGTAAAATTACCTAACATGAATCGTTTTAACTTTCTAAAATCAGTACACAATTTGCTCGGTATGTATTAATAGTCTAATAGTTAAGAGTTAATATTTGCTATGATATCTATTGGTTTGAAAGAATTCCATTTTGTATGAAACTAGTGTGTAGCTCGTGCGATGCACGGGTAAATAATATTAAATAATAATTATGAATTAACGATGACAGTAAATAATATTAATTAATAATTATAAATTAAATATGAGGGTAAACAATATTAACTAATAATTGTAATTAAGATGTGGAGTTAATATGTGATATAATTTATCGTATATCAGTTGTAAACAATATAATTTATCTTGTATAAAATAACATAAAAAATGTATGTTTAAAATATTAAAAACACCTAAAATATTATATAACGTATGTAAAGTATCTAAAATTTTATATATCATTATTGAAGATGTGAAGTTACCTAAAATCTTTCTAAACTATTTTATAAATAAAACATGTCTAAAATTATTTAAAAAACTCTTACCGAAAATATGTTATTCAATTTCTAGAACATGATGATAAGTATAAGTTTGAATTTTAGAATCCACGTGAGTATTATTTTTTAGATCCGTGTACTATACAAATTATTCATTATGTTAATTTCCTGTGAACTTCATATTGATTTATTGATTTTATTTTATTTCTATACAAAGTTGATCATCTCATTTTGTTTTATCATATTCTTATGGAGATTTAACAATGTCGGTTGCATTTATAAAATGATTATATCAACATACAATTTATAATGGAGTTTTCAAAATTGTGTACTATTAACGAATGATATATTATCATTAAATTTTTTTTTTTAAATGTACAATTATTGAGACTGATAATTTGATAATTATTTTACCTTTTGAAACTGAGTATAGAAAAAACAATAGATTGGTAAACAAATAAATGATAAACATTACCAAGTTTATTATCACACGTTCCAAATAAAAATTTTGATGATTAGTGGAAAATGATATTTAACGAATAGCATTCAATAATTTTTTTTGAAAGGCATAAATATAAAGACCGATATTCTAAAATTTTTATTACCTTTTCAATTGAGATTTTATAAATATAGAGACTGAGATTTTAATGTTCTTCGTTGTTTCTATGAATAAATAAAATAAAAATGAAAAATGCACACTTAACAGATCTTAGCTAGAATTTTTAAATAATAAAATGAATTAAAGCCAAAAATTTAATGCAACATTAAATGTTGATTTTTCTAAGATAAAAATAAAAAAATATTAAAACTTACTATTTATAGGTTGCATTAAATTCTCTCCTATTTTTTTGCTACTATTTTTGTTAAATGGTAATTCTTATTATATGTGTATAGATTTGAAATAAAAAAACATATTCTGAAAATCAAATCTGATTTAGAGATCGATTTCTTAATGGCCTTAAATTATGCACATATATTGTTTTAGTTTTTTGAATTCTTTTTTATGATCTCAGTCTTTGCATTATATGAAATCTATACTTATATAAAAAGTCATCCTATTTACTAGAAATAGTAGACAGAAAAGTCAAAGGTAATTAATACTTGCTGGAATTATAATGATATTAATTACAGATTTGTTTTGGTATTTATAGGCTTGACATTAAAGATTTGTTATGGGGTAAAAATCAGAATCGATTTTTTTACTTTGCCGGAAAAGTCAAAGGTAAGTATAAATTTGTTTTATCTCATAGCATCGGTTTAGTTAAGAAAATCCCTTCAAATCAGTTTTATATGTCAAGCCTATGAAAAAAGATTTAATCGGTCAAAATTAAATCCTTATTTTACGTCACCCATAAATAAAGTAGATGTCAAGTCTAAATTGAAGGGTTTTAGTTGTCTATATAGTCATTGATTTACGTAAATACATCTAATGTTTAAAGTTTGTGCAGATTGAAAATTCTTTCTTATCTTTTTTACAAAAAATCTTATTATTGTATGAAAATCAAACTCATAATGTTGTGTATAAGGAGGTCTTTAATATTATATGATGTTTGTTTGTCGAATACTATCTTATTGTACAATTTTCTTGCGTATTATAAAATTTTTATTGAATATTACATCTTATAATATAGTATTCCTCAAATAAATATATCCGTGCCTCGCACGGGTCACGTACTATATATATCCCGTACATTTTTCTGTATTCATGTATATAATTATAAGTTTGAATAAATAGCCTTAAAATTGTTCACCCCGTGCATCGCACGGGCTCTGTAGTAGTTAAGGTTTACACGAATATTTATTTGAGATCCAAGATCCGTAATTAATTTTATACTTATGACTTATGTTAGGCTATTAATGGTTAGTCAACTATATAATTCCCACGAATATATATATACTTTCATAGTCAAAATGTCGCATTTTTTAAAACTTTGAAAACAAGAGTATAACACTTAACTTAACATCAAAATTTTGCATTTTCTTAAAACACTATGATTTATCCATAGTGATGAAAAATATATGACCTACTTTCAGAAATGTCGAAACAAATCAAATCCCATTTCATTTTTATCCCGATGGATTCCACCAGAACTCCATTATTTACTGCGTTTAGGAATTTATAAACGGTTTTTTTTTATAAAAGAAAAGAAAAAGAAAAAACTAATTAACCAAAAAACACAAAAAATCAGATCATTAATCTAATAAAATATAACAGAGATAAATTAGGAACCAGCAGAATTACTTCTCCGAGTAGCCAACTGGGTCTCTCCTTGTATTTGCGTGACTGGTTTTTTATGCTCGTCATCTTTGTTTTTGTTGTTATTTTTCATGTCGCCATAAAGATAGGAAATAAATCCCCAAAGAGAGAGGAAAAGGGAGATGCCCTTTTCTGCTTGGAACTTCTCATTGTAGAAAAACACACCTAAAACTTCAGTTATGGGGAGCAACACAGTCATGATCACGCCCGATAATAGGGAGGACGAGTAGAAAATCACACCAATGGCTCCCACGAAAAAACACTGCCAAATTAGGGCGTTTAGAGCAACCACTATGTAGTATTTTTGCTCTCCAAGTGTGTATGCTTTTGCTTCTCTGCCAATTGCCTGCAAATTATTAAGAATATGAGATTATAAGGCTAAGTAGGGGTATCAATGGCTGGCACGACATAAAACATGAACCTATAAGATTTCGAGAACGCGATTAGAGAGATAAATGATAGGATGAATATGACGCAAAGTAAGATAAGAAAAACACGAAAAAAAAAAAAAAATAGTTGAATTTATATTTGTTACAATACTTGCGACTAAATAAAAGAGATAATACGAAAATATGAAAGTCCAAGACACATATGCACACAATTCCATGCTAAAAAAATATAATAACATCTATATATATATATATATATATAATAAAAATTAACATTTTTTAAAAATAGTAAACAAAAAAATAGGGAATATTAATTGCATTCCATTTTTGATATGTTTTTTTTAATATTTTTAATAAAAAAATCAAGTAGCATTTAATGCTAGCATAAATCATGGGATTTGTTATATAGATCCATATTTACATTTCAAACTTCAAACAAAACATGCCTAAATGTATTTTGAATTTTTTAGGAGAAAGATTTAACAAACACGTTAACGATTTCATACAATACACATATTTATATATATTATCTTAATATATAGGTTAATTAGTTTCATATCTAAATAACAAATATAATAATTTGTCGTACAATACAGAAAAATATATAAACAATACATTCATATACAAATATAATAAACAATGCAAACACTATATAAACAAATATAATAACTTGTCACGTGTATATTTCCTACAATACATATATTTATATATATTTTCTTAACATATAAGTTAATTAGTTTCATATCTAAACAATATATATTTTAGGAACTTAAAGATTCATAACATTACTGGCGTCCTCTATATTTATAATATATTGTCACGTACATTTTACTACAATTGGTAACTTTTTTAAAATTATTTGAAACACTGGAGGTTGATTTGTAATTTGAATTTCAAATTCATTCAAACATTTAAAGGAAAATATCATAAGCAGATTTTTTTGATACATTTCATTTTATCTCAACTTACATATAATCATTTCCGAATGATTTGTTTCCCATAACATCGGACAGAATTAATAATTGCATAGAATTCAATTATGATTTCGAGTTTATATCAAAGATGTTTAATAATTGTATAGAATTTCAAAGATGTTTATTTATTATAAAAAAATTAAATTCTAAAAAAAACATTTGTGTATATTTTGTAAAATGTTTGTACAAAATGTTTTACTTTAAATTTATTTACATAATTTAAATTAATTACATTAATAAATAATATGAACATACATTAAATATTTTAATTATATAAAACAAAAAGAAGAAGAAGACTACATCTATAACTTGCATAAATAATAATAATGAAATATATATATATATATATATATATATATTATTAAATCAAATTTATATTATTATAAATATGTGAGCGAGATAATATATTAATTTATTTACGGGCTTGCGCTTCCAGACTCCGGTTTAATGTTCCGACAAAAAAAAATGACATCGATGAAAAAATGTAAAAAGATAGATGATCAAACTCTATTATTTTTTAGGCCTGAACGGACAAACCCTATGGTCCACTCATTTAATATCTCCCGTGAATCACACGAGCTACTTAACTGACAAGCTTTGTGAAAATGACCCATTTAATACTTATATCTCGTGCATCGCACGGGTTACGTACTAGTTAGAACAACATAAATTACAATTTCACATTTATGCATTTCTTGTAAAAATGTATGATTGTCAAAAATCAAAATATTAGACAACTCAACAACATTAGTTTCAAGAAAAAATCAGCAAAGTGGTTATTGGGCCAAACGGTTAGGAGACATACTTTTTCAATAAATTTGTATTCTTTCAAATAAAAATGTCATTTAAAAATATAATGTAAACAAAATTATGACATTTCATAGCATAAGTAAGCATTTTTGTTAAAAAAATGGTGTGTCAGCTTATCCAAGTATTTGTGAAGAAAATTACACTATAATTTATAAGTAAACACTACACTTGTTAACACTATACGCATTACAATACTTGTTATAATTATAGTTTTAAATACTGAATTTCGTACAAAGCTTTAGTTATTTACTTATTTTCATATCATAACAATACTGAATTGAATGATAAAGTGTTTGAATAAGAACTTGGTACTATTTTCCCACCTCAAATTTGATTATAATTGTTAAATGAAGCTTGACTAGAATTTTAGTTTGTTTAAAATTCATTCAGTTAATGAATGACGAACTAGATTAGTTAGGCTTGATTTAAAAAAAAAAAGAAAAAAAAGAAAATGT